TTTTTATCAAGCAACCAAACCGACCATTTTTTTTTTTGTCTCTTTCTATCTTGTTTTTATTTTCTTATTGGTCCTGGTCTCCGCCCTTACAGCCACTCGCCGAGAACCATTAACATTATAACAGGTTTCCTAGTTCTTGCTTTGGCCTCTATTTCTTTTCATTTATCCAGTTCTACCTCTGATTGTATATAGATTATTTACCTTGTTGGGCTCCCTGACCCCAAATCCGGAGGTGGGCGCTGGCCCAACTGGTGCCCATTAGTGTGGATTGATGGGCCACACACCTGGCCGTGCAGGAGGGTCTTACCTGGGCCGGCACCGGTGCAGGGGCAGACCTCAGGTTTCCACGTGGAAAACCCCGAGTTGCATCCAGCCAGACCAGCAGACGAATCGAACCCCACACCCTGGATCTCTCTTGTGGAGGCCAAACCTGTGCCCCCTTTCCTAGTGCTGGGTAAACACCCCCATACTTCTTGTTCTCGGGCTCCCCATTCACTGTGGCCACGCGTTATAATGAATGAGTTATCCTCGGAGGTTAGAACACCTGCCTGTCGGAGGGGTGTGTCTCAGCTCATCTTATCTTTTGATGTTAATTTTGATGGGGTTTTGTTTTAGAAGGTGCTTTTCCCTGCCCCAGCCCCTGCTCCGGGTGCTGGTTTGTGGGTATTGGGGCTGGTCTGTTGCTCCCTCACTGTCGCAGCCTCCTTCCTTCCCCCTCCCTCCCTGCCTCCCTCCCTCCCTCCCTCCCTCCTGTTAGCAATCACTGCCATTTCTGACAGCCAGCGGGGGCCTGAGTTTTACATCCTTTGTCTAAGCCGCATGGCTAGAACGATGTTCATTTTGCAAATCGACATGAGTCCCTTGGGGCCATTAATTGACCTGCGCAGGGTCTGCCCACTGGATCTAAAATCAAACCAGCAGGGACAACACGACACTTAAGCATTCCAGGTAACAGGCGACCTGGAGGCCGTGGGGAGGAGTGGGCGGCATCTGGACAGCAGCCCGGCTTCGAGCAGCCTGCGGGCAGCGGCCTCGTCTGAC